CGTTGTAGTTTGTTATTAATAACTATGTATAACAGGATATTGTAAAAGTTAAGTTATGAAATTTTTATTAAAACGTTTCTTACATACCGTTATATTGGCTGGGCCACAGAAATATTCATTGTGGGCTGCATGCGGCCCACAGGCCTCGAGTTTGACATGCTTGATCTAAATGGTAGGAGCCATATTGTAACTACCCTGAAGTTTCTTTGAGACCCAGCTCACAGAAAGAAGAGTATTTTTTATAACTTCTCACAACCAAGGAGAAAAATTCCCACTGGATTTCCTGAGGTTGGGAATGATGATAGGCAGTATTTATTGCATTTTCTCCATGCACAGGCATTTAATCCTTGGAGTCAACACTAAGGCAGGTTTTATTCCCATTTGCAAATGTGGAAAGCAACATACAACAAAGCTAAGCGACTTCCTTACAGTCACAAGACTGATATGACCTAGGTGTAGAATTCAAACTGAGGCAATTCCTACTCTACATGCAATGCCTTTAGCTACTATACTAAGATGGATTTTAAATATGTTGAAATATAGAAAATTCCATAGGTGCCGATTCCACCAGGACAGCAAGTATTAAAATGGAGTCCCCAGTGCCAATGCAGAGTGCTCCTGCGCCTGGCCTCTCATGATTGCAAGCTGGCTGGACTGCCCTGGCTGTGTCAGGGCAGGCAGGACCTTGCAATTGCTGACCTCCACATCCCACCCCATCGTTTTCTGAGTGGTTCCAAAGTTGGTGGGTTCATTTTAGAATTTAGACTTCGCAGACAAGTTCAGCACACAAATCCTATTTTGACCCCACATCAATGACAGAGGGCTTTTGCTCTCGTCCTGGCAGAATCCAGGCCCAGATGAGGTAAAAGAGATTGTTGCCTCCCAGCCCAGAAGCACCTGTGGGAGCAGCAGCTGCCTCTGCTCACTGAGCAGGCTTACGAAAGAGGGAGGCTGACTCCCCGTGTCCTCACCGAACCAACAGGCTTCTCAAGACCACCAGGCTGAGAAGGAACCCTCAAAGCCCTCTGCAAGGAAGGTGTTCATCAGGCTGTCTGCAAAGGTACAACAGAACTTGGAAAGCACGGAGATGATGCTGATTTGTCATTTCAGGGACAAGCATGGTCTGGGGTTAGTGTATCTACCGCAAAGGGTCTGGAAGAGGTGGAATAAAGGGCTCTGTTACCCTGGCATTCCATTTTACTCAGTAATGAGCCACTTGAACCATTATTTTATTTTAAAGTAAGTAAAGGTGATTAGGGCACAGAAAGCAAATTTCATGTAAATGTTTAAGATAAAGGACAAGCCTTCAAAGACATTGCCATTGCAGCTGCGCATCTAGAGCTCTTCCCCATTCCCTTTGCCTCTGCTGTCAAGAGTTCATACATGAACATATTTATGTTTGTAATTAATAGATCTAAAACAATTGATTTAAGTGATTATCATTATCTATAGCAAGACATCATATTAAAACAAAGTCCAGCCACAGTGGATCAGGAGGTCATGGTTGATTTCTGGTCAGGGGACATGCCCGGATTGTGGGCTTGATCCCCAGTAGGGGGTGTGCAGGAGGCAGCTGATCAATGATTTTCTCTCATCATTGATGTTTCTATCTCTCTCTCCCTCTCCCTTCCTTTCTGAAGTCAATAATATATATATAAAAAATAAAATGTGTTAACAAACACAACAAAAACAAAGCTTAATCTGCTTCCTCCAGGAGCTTCAGGTAGCATATCCCCAGCCAGAATAATCTAAGTGTGATGTGTCCTTTTCCGAAAGCACGCTCCTCATGGGTGACACTAATTTTAATGACCCACTCAAAATTTTGTTGATATTCACTCATGCTACTTTGCCCCCTCACAACTTATCAAAAACCTCTGGGAAGGCTCTTTGAGACAATGAAAAGATTCTGATCAAAATTTTCCCCTAGATTTAGCATCCACTGATGACCTTTGCCCTAACCACTCTTTATGAAAACGGTTGCAGAGTGGTACTTCAATGCTGATACCTTCAATCCAGTCTCGTCCCACAGGTCTGCCTTGTCTCCCCCCATTTACACATGTGCTCAATCCTACCACACTCACAAAATAAATTCAGAATGGCTATACCCATATTACTACAAACGACACCAAAAGTTTAAAATTTACTTGCAGTTCTTTTTTCCCCCTTAGCCTGAAGGTAGTCAAAGTACTGTTCAAAATTTAATAAAGTGCGCAACTACTATATTCAAAAGGTTGCTTCTTTTCCCTGCTTTTTGGGATACATATTTTTTTTCTCATTTGAAATGTAGTTAAATTCATTTGCTTTTGTTTGCATTGACTATTGGTTTTGCCCCATTTTGTTTTCTTTTCAATTGTTGGAAACAGGCTTTGTCAAAACTATGCAAGAAAATAACTCAGAAATGTCTGTCCCCCTTCACTGTCGCTTCTGCTCAGCACTCCTCCCACTTCTTGAGGTAACCAGTTCTATTGGTTTCTGATTTTTCTTTCTGTGTTTTTTTTTTTTTTTCAATAAGCAGATACACATGTCTTCTTATTCCCTCTTCTTCCTTATGTAAATGATAGCACCTTATTTATACTCTTGCATTTTGCTCATTCTGTTTAGCAATATATCCTAGAAGTCATTCTATATCAACCAATAGCAACTGTCCTCATTCTTGTTGCTAGCATTAAGACTCCATTATCTGGAAGTACCACAGTTTATCCATCAATCTCTATGTTTAGGTATTTAGGTAAATTACAGTATTTTGCAATTATGAGCAATTCTGCAATAAACAGAATGTATGTGTTTTTATGTTTCTGGGGTTCATCTTCAGGGTTAATTTCTATAATTGGGATTGCTGGGTCACAGTGGGGCTGCCCATTCTGTCTTCCCCATAGCAACATATGAATGTCCCTTCCCCTCAACCTTGCCAACACAGTGTACATACAGTTACGCTGTTAGTGTTTGCCTCTCTGATAGATGAGAAGTGGTATATCGCTACATTTCAATGTGCATTTTTCTTATTATGAGTGAAGTTGTACATCTTCCATATGTTTAAAAGCCATATTTATTATTTTTTATTAATTTCATTACGTGCATGTCTTTTGCTCATTTTTTCTATTGGAATTTTGGGATTTTCCCTTCCATTTTTGAAAGTTCTTTAAATATTAGGCTTATTAGTTCTGTGTGTGTCTTATATGCTGCAAATATTTCCTCCTATTTTTGTCATTTGCCTTTTGACTTCGCTTATAATAGTTTTCGACTTATTAGAAGTTGGTTTTTGCTTTGTTTTTATTTTAAGTAGTCAAACTTACGTATCTTTCTTTTTAAGTAGTCAAACTTATCTTTTTATTGCATCTGGATTTTGGAGTCATTATTAGAAAGTCTTTCTCTGAACTCAGGTCACAGAGGAAGCGACCCAAGTTTTGTTGTACTGATTGTATGATTTCATTTGTTACACTTTAGGTCTCTGATCCTTTGGAATTTTCTTTTTGGGTATGATGTTAAGAATAGAACTACATTTTTTCTAAATGGCTATCTAGTTTTCTCAAAGGTATTCAGTGCAAAGCCCGCCCTAGCCCCACTGATCTGCAGTGCCACATTTATCACACACTACATCTCTATATGTAGGTGGGGCTATTTTTGGACCTTCTATTCCACTGATCTATCTGTCTATCCAGGTGCTTGTACTGTAATGTTTTAATTGTAGAGACTTTGTTTTATATTTTTTAAATTGATGAACAAATAATGTGACCGATCAAACTGGCTGTTTAGGGTTTATACACAAAACCACTGGGTGACTTGATGGCTTCAATCCCGGCTGGCCACACTCCTCTTCATGCTCTTTTCCTGCCTTCCTCAGCCGCATGGAAGAAGAGGGGATTAAACTATCACTGTTGTTGCTATTGTTATTGTTACTATGGTGCCAACATAAATGGGCGGCTTAGTTATGTCATCCAGGATTCTAAATCAACCTGGTGTCGGACCCTGACAGTGATACAGGCCTAAGGTCTCCTTGTCAACCAGAGAGGGTTTTCAGCTTAACACCCTCCTCTGCTCAGGGTGATTCTCCTGGGGAAGGGACACCCCTTCTGGACCAGCTCATATTTCCATGCTCCCACTGTGACTTGGAGGCCGAGGTGGGGCAGGCTGCTGCAGTGCCCCCCAAGCTGGGTTCCCACGTGCCGTCCCCAGCCTGCATCTGCCTGTCGCTGCCAGAAACGCCACAGGAATGAGACTCATGGAGAGAAGAGCCGGCCCACAGCAGCCATTGAGACTACTCTGGAGAACAGCTATGTCTGGGTTACAGTGATTAATGTGATGTTAATCCCAACAAAAACGATGGGAGAGAAGCCCTGTGCGAACATTTACAATCAATTAATGAAAAACGCCACTCCCATCAGACCCATTATCACTATGAAAAATCACCCTGAAAATACACAAGTAACCAGGCCATGGAGCCATTGTTTGGTGATTGGCAAAGTTCCCCCTTTTAAACTAATTCAGCATCAGAATCCCGTGCTTAGAATTCAGCGTTAGAATGAGCCTTGGCTAGAGTTCCAAAAGCAATCCCTGGCCTATATCACCGCCACCGAAGCAGGTTCTCACTCATCTACGCGAAGAAAACACAGCTGTGGCCTCTGCCGTGGCTCTGATTCACTGTGAGAGCCAAACTCAGCCACCTTCCCAAGTTCAGACCCAAAGATTGATCCCCAGGACTGGGCCTCTCGGACAGGGGACTGAATCTAACACACCCCTAGTCACTGCTCCAATGACAGCATTTGTACGTACACACGTGAGAGGAAGCAAGTAGCTAGAGAAGACACACTCAAAAAGTGAGATTTCTGTGCTGATCAGACCCCTTCCAGAATGCTAGTTACATTTTCACCAACTTTGTTTGCAAACTGTACAACGAAGGAAAATGTCACTGAACCCCATTATAGAGGATGAGTGACCCAATTGCTGTCTTCTGAAATGAACACAGGGATGAACCCTCAGGCTCTCTGGGGCCCGCGACTCACGGTGCTGTCGATGTAAGCTTCGGTCCACACCACGTCGTGCTCCTGGTCAATCACCTTGGGCCGGCTCAGCACGTGGAGGTATTCCATGACATTTTCCTGCACATCAGCCAACGTGGAGATCTGGGTGAAGAATCCTGCCAAGGGAGAACCAGTTCAGGAACAGACAGGAAGACCGGCAACTGGGGAGCCCACACCTGCCATGCCTTCGTGGCCTCTAGCGAATTTCTGCCTCTTCTTTTCCTTTTTAAACCTTAGATCTCCCCTCTGCCATCACCCACTTCATGCGTCATATGTTCATGAGAGAAAATATCAGCAAGCAAAGGAATCCAATTAAGATCAACCATAAACTCACCCCTCCAGAGAAGCCCCTGTTGGCCCTTTAGAGCAGCAGTCACCAGCCAGTGGTCCGTGGACCTCTGGTGGCCCGTGAGGTCCGAAAGGTTGGCGACCGCTGCTTTACAGCCTGTCTCCCCAGACTGTTTTCTATGCATGCACATGCAGGCCTTCCCTGGCAGGAGCGTGGGAGGGTCCTTTTATATGCCATTTCATAACCTTTTGTTTTTTACTTTGGTGGATTTATTTCCAGTGGGAAAACTATGCACTTCAAAATGGAAAGGCTATCCATTTTTATCACTATAACAATAATAGTTATAGTTAATTTTTGAGTGCTTACTGAAGGACACAAAATTTGCTAAACACTGGAAAGGCTTTGTCCCATTTATCCTTAACACAATGAGGTGGGGATAACTGTGCCCACTGTAAAGAGAAGAAGACCGAGGCAGACCGTGGATATGTGTCTCCCCCACGTTCCCACAGGTTTCCAGCGGCAAATACAGGAGGTGAGTCCAGGATTGGGAGTCTCTTCATCTGTGCCTTTTGCTTTTACAGAATTTTGCCCTTTATGAGTTTGAGGCTGACATGCCAGCTCATACCCCCGTGTGGTTGCCAGACCTGCCTATTGAATATGCTGGTGGACCTGGCTTCTAAGTAACATAAGTTCTAATTGTGCGATTGTCTCCAGATGGGGATGCCGTTTTGATCTCTAGTTCAGGGCATTGCTATGTTCCTCTTCAGTGTGGGCTCCTGTTGGCCTTGCTGTGGGTGGGTTGGGAGATGTTGGAAGGGAAGGGATGAACTGGGGCCCTTCATCCAAACCTTTATGGAGGGCTTCCTTGGTACCTAGCCCTGGAGAAGCAGGGATTAACAGAATGGGTGGGACCCCTGCCTCCTGGGCCTGGGGAGTCTGAGTAGAACAACCACAGAACAGCACAATCAGTGTTGCCCTAAAGCAGCAGTCACCAACCTTTCGGACCTCACAGACCACCGGTTGGCGACCGCTGCCCTAAAGCACACAGCAGTGGCAGCCAGGCACTCGGCAGCCCCAAGGAAGGGTCAGCACCACTAACCCTGAAGGATGAGGACGAGTAGCTGCAGGAAGAGGGGTTAAAGAGTGTACGATCAAGCAAGGAGTGTTAGTAAAGGCAAAGGGCAGACTCAGGCCCCTTCTGGGAACTGAAAATAGCTGGAGTGACTGGAGTAAGGAGCTGGGCGGGAGGGCACCGGGGCGGTATAAGATCAGAGGAATGCACAGGGCACCTGCACACAGGACCTTGGGAAGAGCTTGGGCTTCATCCCACAGGCAGGTAGTCATGGAGGATCTTAAGCAGGGACACTGGCTGGACATGCCCCGTTTCCTCCCCGCCCTTTAAATGAGGACCCTTATAATGAGGCTCATGCCAGCTCCTGGTGCCAACACATCAGAGAGGGTGTGAGTGCCTCTGGAGCCAGGTCTGTCTCAGCACTGGCTACAGTGTTTACAGAACCTCATAGTGCCTAAGAGGGCTCGGGTAAGGGAATGCCAGCCCTTCTGTTGTCCGGAGAGGGCCGGACCCTGCCAGCGCATTTTCAAACAAAGCCCAGCTGGTTTGAATTTGGTGTGCCAACCCCAAACCAGGTTGGGACCATGTGGCTTCTGGCTTCCTGATGACAGCTCTGCACAGTGTAATTAACATGCATTGTCACTCCTGTCCTTCTCAACCCTCCCTGCCAGGGCCAGAGCCTCGCCTATCCCAGGGGAAACAGGACCCTGAAAGAGCAGGCTCTGAGCTCCTGTTTTAGGGTGCAGCCCAAGAGTGGGGCCCATGAGCACCTTGGCCTCCATCAGAGGTCATGCACCAAAGTCAGGGGATCCACTGGGACACTCCCAGGCGGCCCCTCTTGCAGAATTGGTGAGAAAGACAAGTTTTAAAGAGGATGAACAGGGGGCACCCATAGTTACCTCTCCAGGCACAGTGGCTGCACTCAGTGTTTGAATAAGAAGGAAAATATTTCATCTTTGCTCTAGTGGACAAACCATGGTCCTGAGGGAAAGGCCTCAGACAATCAAGGCAAAGAGGACAATTAAGAGAGATGTTGCCACGGTGATAAGAGGAGGGAGAGCTCCATGATGCTGGACTATTAGGGTACTTGGGTGCATGATCCTCAGAGAAGAATAATTCCTATTTGGGGTTCCTATGCAAAAGGTGCATAAAGACAGCAACTCTTAGGAGGAGTTCTTCTTGGTTGTCTTCATTTTCTTGATCCTCAAAGCCAACAGTAAAAATCCTTGATTTGGATTTTCCAAAATTGGGCCAAGAGAAGAAGGGGAATGAATGTGAGGAGAAGGACGGGAGAGATAGGTCATTAGCATAGAGGGAGTGGAAAGGAAAAACCACCGCGCACTTGGACAGGGATGGAGCTGAGATCATCCTCACCTGGCATTGCTGGTCACAGTCTACATTCTGAGAAGCTACAGAAAGCTGGCTGCTCCCCAGAGCTCCAGACCCACAGCCAACGGTCTACCTGACACTTCCACAGGAGGACTCACAGGATTCTCAGACTGGACTCGTCCCAAGCCAGCTCCTGGTTCCCTCACCAAATGCATTCCTCCCCCAACTGCCTCTTCCCCACCTCAGCAAATGGCGCCACTCCCCAGATTAGGCCAAAAATATAAGCGCTATTCTTGACAGTCACCCCTTGCTCACCCCAGCCCATGGCTAGTCCCCGAGCAAGATGTTCTGACCCGATCTCTATAACATGTCAGAAACCCACTTCCCCCTCTCCTCTGCCCCAGCCCACTCCTGACTCGAGTCTCTCCTCCAGGGTACGGCAACAGCCTCCCCATATTCCCCTCCTTGTTATCCTGCAGCCGGAGGGATCATCTGAAAGTATAAAGCAGATCCTCATCTCTCTGCTAAAGATCCTAAAACTGGTTCTATTTAGAGTTAGAATAAAATCAAAATTTCTTAGCCACACTGCCAAGACTCTCCTTCAGCTGCCTGCCCCGCACCTGGATGGCCTCACTCCCTTTGTTTCCTCACCATTGCTCTCATTGGGCTCCCTGGCCTTCCTCCTCCGCTGACAGGCCAAGTGCATTCCCCTCTCAGGCTTTGGCTCCTGCTGTCCCCTCTGCCTGGCACAGCTTTCATCCAGTTTCTCCATGGCTGGGTCTTGTTTATCATGCAGGGTTCAGCTGTCTAAACTCACCTCCTCTCACTCCGCCCTGCCTTCACTTTCTTCAGAAGATTAATCTGGTGAACTCTGACTTACTTGTTTACTATGTTCTCTTTCACTGGAATATTAGCTCCATGAAATATTACAAAAAATGAGCACCTGTCTTGTCAGGAGCAGAATTCCCAGAGCACACATATGGGTTAGCAATGCAGGGACACCCACTGGGGTCTTACTGGCATCCATCTTGCCCCTGTGGGCCTGGGCAACTCATGGGCTCACTGTATCAGTAGGAAACAGAGCAGAGAACTCAGTGATTCATCCCAGCTCAATTCCAACCCAGGTTCATCTGATTCCAGAACCTTTACCCTTGACCACTGAGGATACTGCTTTTTCCTGTTTCAGAAAAGAACAGACACATGTGGCTGCTCAGAGGTCCTCCCCAGGAGGTCGCCCCTAATGGGCTGTCTGCATCTCTGTGGCCACGACAAGTTGAGGATGGGGTGGGGAAATGCATGGTTCTCCTTGAGGTTCCTGGGAAATGCTCAATAATTAGCAAAAAGGTCTACTCAAAACCCAGGGCCCAGTTCTAATTTATATTTCAAAATATAGACCAGGCATTCAGATGTATAGAAGGTAAGAGAAGCTGAGATTATACAAATAATATTAATAACGTATACTGCAAAGCTTCATGCAAATTTAATCATCTAACCCCAACCCATTAAAATCTCCAACCTTTCTGAAAGACCCTTTCTTGCTTTCAAATGTTTTCATCTAAGTTTTAGTTAACAAATGTACTTTTGATGGATAACAGGAAGTCGCTGAGGGCTGGACGCTTTGGCTGTAACCATAGACGCTTCCCTTGTTTTCCCTCTGCATTCTCTGAACTGGCTCCTTTCCCTCCTCCCTGCTCCCCCCTTTTTTTTCTTTTAAATTCTAGCTCTTGAATGTTTATTCTCTTCTTTAATGAGCCTTTTTGGACGTCATATATCATGTAGGAAAACAGAATCAGCAATCATTCAGTAATTACCAAGGAGTAATTAATGCTGTAATTAGCCACCTATTACAAATGGTCTTCTCATTTTTCTACGTAACATCTATTTATGTACTTTATTCCTCACAGAGCCTCCTGTGAACTCCGGGTTACAACTGCTCCCTGTGATCAACCACACGCAGCCTGGTGCTTTGTATTTCTGAGATTCTACCACCCTCACCTCTAGATTTCTTAGGAGTCCCTTGTCTAAAAGGTGCCTTTAGATGAGAAGCTCCATCATTCATTATTCTGCTTTGCAATGACGTCAGAGCTGAGGGTCCCAGTTGGCTCCTCATTGGAGACTCTGGCCATCTATCTCCCACGCCAAGTCCCCGTTCACCTTTGCTGTGAGGCACCACTCCCTTTACAAACACTCCTCTCTGAATAAGACAAAGCTCAGATTTCAGTCTCCTCAGGACAGTGGAGTGGGCAGTGAAGTCGATGATGTGACCTCGTTTGCCTCCCTTCTGGACAACAGTGTTCTACTCTTCCTCCTCCCCATCAGCATCACATGCTACTGACAAAGCACTTATTTCTGTAAAAAGATATGCAATTTATAAACAACTTCCTACCTCCACCTCCCCTCGGACCTTCACAGACATCCAGCAAGAG